TAGGAATATAAAAAAGCTAGAAACAAAAAAAAATGCCACGCTATAAGAAAATAACCATACGCACAGTTAACGTCTATTGGTTCAAATACTAATTTATGTGTCTCCGTCTACCCGTGCAAAGCCGAAGCAGGTAATTAATAGATAATAAAAACATAAAAATAATAACATAAAAGAAGATTTAGTTACTAATAGGTATGAGGAAGTATCTTAAAATGGTGATAATGACCTCACTGTAGGTACTCGAGCGTTTAATTCAGATTTAATCATTCTAATTCCACAAATATCAATATCAATTTGTTGTTAAGTCGCCTGGTGATAGTCTAAAAATAATATTTCACTGCCAAGCCAACATTCAACTTGAATCGAAACAATAAAGGTCGCGGTCAGCGCCATCTGTTGAATGATCATTAATAACTTTGATGGCAAATTGTTTCCAGTTTGAATATAGAATCCAATTAATCTGAATTCCGAACTTTCTATCCTTTTCATGGAATTCTGATGACGGTGGTATACCTTCGAAAATCGATATCAAACGTACCTATTCCAAAGGCGGATAGAATTCTTAGAGAATATTTACCTTGTTCAATAATGTATCAATGTATAGTCACATATATAATATACTCCTTTAACTGTGTACTTATAATTGGATCATTGTTACACATACTTTTAGAGGATTAGCTTGAATGAAAGAGTATTGTATTACACAATTAATGTATTATTGTTGATTCTCTGTAATGTATACCTTACCAATTAATGAATTAATATAAAATTGTTTAAAACATAACATTAGGACCAGTTTTACATTACTTTTTCTTTTATTTAAAAAGGCATGTCGTGTTTTATGGATTCATGTATTATGTATGTGAGTTTCTTTAATTCACCATAACTTTTAAATGCTCGAACAGATTTGTAAATATGAGGTATCGTTAGATTCTTTGCATCATCCCGATTGACATTGGGCTATAATTTTTTTAAATAGTTATTTTTTTAGCAGAGCTGTTATGTTTTTTTTTTCAATTTATAGAACAAACTAATACTTAAAGTACATATTATTAGTAAAACTGAAATTTTAACTAAAAGAAGCCTATGAAAAAATGATAAAAAAAAACCATTCCATGAACATGAACTTGACACATTTAAGAATTCTGCGAACTCGTCATTTTGAGATCTTATAGCATTAGGCGTCGCCAAATAAAAGTTACTCATACTTTTGAAACAGATCAATGTGAAATCCGAAAATAATATTCCTAAAACCTTAACCACAAGGGATATTAATAAATAAATTTCCAGTAGCTATCTCCGAGGGCAATGATACAGCATTTCATATGGCTAAAAGTGCTTTCATGCAGAACTATGGGTCGCAGGGGTTTGTAAAAAAAGAATGGCATAGTCACGCTTCCTTGATCATAGTTGGTGAATTATATGTACTTATTGAATGTAAAAGAAAATCATTGGAAACGACGAATACGTCTTGAGAAATAGAAAAATAAATGAAATCTTTTATTTCTCTACATATCTTTTTGTGTATAGTAAAATTTAAACCATAAAACCTTAAATTATATCCTTTCATTGGACTGTTCTACAGACAAATCAGTGTATTTTTTCCAATGAAATATATTTTTGAAAATGTCAAAAAATTTTGAATATTTTCAAAATTATTATTATAGCGTATCCAGCCTCTATATTTTTTTTTTTTTGGAGTGGCCCATTCTATACTGAGGTCATACGACCAATCCGCCTATAAATATGTAAAACAATGTGTAAATTAATTTTCATTACATTTGTCATCACATTACTTTGAATTCACTTATTATATTACAAGTACTTAGTAAGTAACCCTGCAGAGTGGGGCCCTTGTGATCTGTAATACAGGTATTTTTATATCTATCTCAGACACCAGTCTCTCACAATTATATTTATAATTTGATTACCTTAATATAAGCATGTCTCATTGTATTTCACTGTGATGAATTGTGAAAAGAAAATAAATCTATTATGGAATATGTTAGAAAATGTGTAAATTAATTTTAATTATTCTTTATATTCATCTTTCAAATTGGTTTACTAATCTATACCTAGTTTTGAATTACATTTTCGCTACTTTATCATAGACAAAGAATAAAGTCTCTCGTAGACCTCTTGTCAAATCTGATGAATATGAACTTCGTGATCTTGTAACGAGGTCCACATATCGCGAAATGGTAAAATATTTTTTGTTCCTTTGACAACTGACCTTTATGAGAATACTTATAATTTCCCTTGTGTCCCGTCGTGACGACAAAGGAGCTCTTTTTCGAATGTGCGCCTCGCGGAAACTTTTTTAGCGCATAAGTATAACTATACATTTAAAAAAATATATATTATTCGAATGTTAGCGTACGTGACTCAGTTCGGTAACTGTATTTCGGTAGATCATAGACACAACTAAAATGTAGCATATAATATAGATTTTAATAAGTGAGATATCGTTCTACTTATGTATTTCTTATAATCTTGGAAGCGGTATTATAATATAAATGACGACAGCAAAAATATGGTGACCTTAAATTGTACACAACTTAATAAAGAGAATATTTTACTTTAATAAATATAATTTATGTTTTCCTAATATACAAAATATCTGTTTAATTTAATAATTGACTACAATCAAATATACGAGTAGGTAGTTGACGCTGTGTTGTCCCGGCATGAAATAGGCTTCCCCTACTTTCCCAGGTGTCATAAGAAGCTTATAAAGGAATTTCACATCACCAAAGCCTAACTGCGGTTACCAATTCACTTGCCAAACGTGACAACTACTGGCAAAGTCTCCCTTAGGGTGAAGCCTATGTTCAGCAGTAGGTAGTTAACGGCTGATATGATGATGATGATGACAGGTAGTATAGTATGGCATATCATAAAACAAGAATATTACTTGCATTACAGTGATCTTAGTACTATATATTTAAAGATGTCAATATATTTTTTCTTTTTAAAAATTGAACATCATTACTAAGCCAATGGTGTTGCCAGTATCAAATAAAACTATAAAGCACCTACAGCCCTTATATTATTTCCTGGAAACTTTTCACATTTTCTTTTTATATTGTTTAGTCATTGTAATATCGGTATCGCATCGATATCTGTGCATTGGATTTATTTTAATATCAGGTCATCACACGTTTCAATATCGCCCATACCGGTCAAAGATCTTATCGAAATGATATTCCTATTAAATAATATATCAGTTATTGGACCAATATATTGTGATTAATATATAGTATAATATCTATATATTACATTATATGTTACCTATCCCTATTGCACGTACTTGCCCACTGAGCAAGTAATCACTACGTTTATTTACCTAAACCCCGTGCGAATGACTTTTGAACGTCACTTGTTAAGTTGTTTAACATAATAATTGTTCTTGTAACAATTCATTATGCTGACTTAAATACACTTGGTGGAGACTTGTTGACTGCCACAGTATTGTCGATCTTGTTTTGCATTATTTGAGGCCATTTTGTTGATTTGCTGTTGAATTTTAAATGAGGCAACATTTTAGAACAATGTTTTCCATTTTTGATAATTTGAGCCCTTCTGGAACGACTTTTCTTAATAAATATGAAATGTTAAATAAAGTATTGCTGGTTTCATTCCAACTTTATAAACATGTCCCTAAAATTATGTATTTTTTTACATTAATTTAGAAAATAAACAATATATACATAAGTAAAAATGTATTTATATAATAGAATTAATAAAACTGTTATGCTATGTCTTTATTATGTGTTTAGTTCCGTTATCTATTTATTTAGAAAATCAATGACATGATCAATTACGTAACCTGGTAGAAACGTAAAGATCATTATCATATTGATATCAGCCTTTAACTGTCCACTGCTGATCATAAATCTCTCCCTTGGGGTGTTTTGCTAGTAGTTGTCACGCTTGGCAGGTAAGCTGGCAATCATAGTTAGGCTTTGGTGATGTTTTATGAGGGACTATGCTGCCCATCCCTTTCCCTCCTTAGTCGTCTCTTATAACAACCAGGGGAAAGGAATGTGTGGCCGATTCTATGTCGAGGCTTAAATGAAACCCTTAATACACGTTTCTTATAAAACATACAACGCAAAAATCTAAAAGTCGACTATTCTTAACAGTTTATTTTTTAAGTTGTCCCTAATTTTTTGTAATTGTTGCCATAACTTTGAATAAATACCTTTACCTGTGAGTATAATTATGGATGTACAAATTCGAAACCAAAAAAATAAAAATAAAGTTATTTCTAAATTAATTTAAGAATGTCATTTGATAATAGTACCCGCTTATTTGTTTAATTATCAGTTACCAATTAACACTAGTTTTATATTCCTTTTTTTTCTGACAGATAAAAATGGAATAGTATAACACAACAGCGCTAATGGTATACGCTGGCATCCTTGGGAAACTGGACGAAGGTCACCCTGACAGAATATAATAGTGTTAGCAATGGGGCTAACAGTCCCCGTTAATAACAATACCCCTTCTCCCCCGGTCACCCCTCTCATAATAAAGAAACCCTGTTCCTACATTACCAGGCCATTAATGTGATTGCGTGGTTCTTGTTATTGAAGTTAAGCTCTAGCAACGTAACGTTGGCTCAAAGTAAACACATCTAGAAAATTATTTAGAAAAAGTATGCTTACGATTGTATACCCTAATGGGATAGTCTAAGGCATCGAATGTTGTTAATAATCCAAACTGATATCATAAAGAGGACAGATTAGATTTTTTTTGTACGTTTATTCATTTGCCTGTAATAAATATTTCAAAAAATACTTAATCCCATTTTAAAAATTTGTTGCGGCTGTATTTTGTTTCATTAAAAAAAAAGTATGAAGCTGGCCTGCTATCAATATAAATTTAGATTCTATTTAGATATCTAGTTGCAAGTAAACTTTTCAAGTCACTGAGCAGGGAAAAATATCTATACTTAGTTAAAATTTAAAGAAACACGAACAGTCAAATCCACTGACCTGTAATAGCCCAGAGTTCCTTCAGGCATTCCTCCCTCGACCTCTGTATCGCTGACCTTTTCTGCACCTCAGGTCCAGACTCCAAATATTCAAACAGCACAGCACCAAGTAGAACATATATTACAACCAATATTACAAGTCCTATTTGTGAACAAGCAGCGCGGGCGCACAAACCCGCCGCCCGTCGGATCACACTTGGCCTCTCCCGTCCGTCTAATGACACTTCCGATGACATTTTCAAATTTTAAATTCCGAATGCTCGAACTCCATTTTGTTTTTTGTTTTTTTGTTGTTGTTGGCACTACATAAACATTTCCAATGTTGAAGAAATTATTTATTAAAACAACTTCTGCATACTTTTTAATTTGAATTAATTAAAACTCTTTGGTTGCGTCATTTAACAATTAAACATACATTTTGAATATATTTTTACATACGAAATTGTATCTGTAACAAAAGAAAAGTTACAATTAATAGATTTTATCAACTTTATAAAGATATGTGATGTGATGTAAGTGATTTTTATATTTACTAAAATATTAACATAAAAATAAATACCCAAAACATACCTAATATAAAACCGCAACCTATAATATGTATTAAATCTAATATCTGTCATCCATCATTAACTCTATAAGAACGATTTTTTTAAGTACCATATAGTATAATACCTATACTTTTAACTCTATGGGTACATTTTTATGGGTAACATAAGTAAATTCGGCCTGCTTTATCAGTTAACGTTGACGGGGTACTAGTAAGGGATGATAGGTGTGGATAAAATCGGGTCAGTTGGCTGATTCTGACAAATTCATCATGAATTAATCACAATGATTTTCAGGGAGGAACCTCAAGAAGATCGACCTGATAGGGTATATTTGTAACAATGGGGCTGTTATCCTCTATTACTAATAATCCCCTCTCTTCCCATGGATTAATCCATTAGATAATTACGTTAAAATAATAATACTGGTATATAATAGACCGTTTTGCCGGCCCTATGGTCGTAATTCAACCTTTTACGTCTGCCGAGGACAATCTATTAAGGAAAAATTGGCGGTTATTCTTTTCCACTCCGACAATATTCCTTCAAGAGGTACAATTTTTGGAAAGCTCCACTCACTATTGATCAAATGTAAACCAACAATAGAACATCCAAATATTTTCGCGCAACCCTTTTCCATTTTTCTTGGTAACGTTAAAAAATGTTATCTACCCGCGGGATTTGATCCCCCACCGATCATATATCACCCGACAGTGACATTCCCGAAGCATAGCCACTATGGGATTCTTATTGTACTTTACACAGATGAATTTAACGATTCGCCTTTTTCTAATAGATGTATTAAATAGGTAATAAATAAAAATGTCTAGATGGAATGTCGACCTCAAATGCATTGTAGAAAGTTAAGGAATGCATGTGGCTCAGGACCGTTCCTAATGGCAATTTATGATCTCTCATATGTTCACCAGTAGAAAGATAATGGCTGATATGATGATGATGATGATGATGAAAAAGAATGACCTTAGAGTATGCCTCCATGATTTCGATAATGAAAGTAGTTTGTTAATGAAATTAGGTACAATATTAGTACTATTATAAACATAAAAGTTTGTAACGATATATGGATTGATATTTGTTACAATTTCACGGATAAACTACTGAACTCACGACGGTTGGTTGAACTGTTAAGCGTTGTATATAAAACAAGCTCACTTTCATACAAGAAAGGACAAGGATTATTTAATTATGTCTTGTAGTTTATAACTACGTAGATATTTGTTTACACTTTCATCTTTATTTTGACGTCGTTTAAATTTTGTTTATACGTTACGTAATGTCTTCGCTGCGCCTACTTCTGAATTCAAAATTTTCTGTTCTACTCTAAACTAATTTTAATAAATCTTCCTATATTAATTTTACCACGATTAAAGACTTTCTTTTTTGAGAGCAAAATTGTAAATATTATAATTTTATATTTGAATAAAATATTTGAAGCGTATTTATTACTTTTATTTACCATGGAAATAAATTAAAATGTTTTTATCACTCAAATTAATTGGATTTGCGTCTATGTCGATCTGTGTGTGTCGAATTTTTATTTGTAAACTAGCCTTTATCCTTGAATGCTTTCATAAAAAAAATAAAAAATTGCGTGTGAAATGAGTTTTACGAAATGAAATGTGTTCTTTAAATTACATTAATATAGGTGGATACCTCATATTAAGTATGAACAACACTTGTATCATGAAGTTCCACCCTTCAATAACATAATCCGTATTAAAAACATACCTACACTTACAAATAAGATAATTAGATTTGTAGATAGATTATATATAATATATAGTTATACACATGTTTGCCATTTTAAGTTGCATATATATATATATATATATATATATATATATATATATATATATATATATATATATATATATATATATATATATATATATATATATATATATATATATATATATATATATATATATATATATATATATATATATATATATATATATATATATATTCATTCCATATAGCACATGTATATATTTTTTATTTCATACCGATTGGCTTAACTATTAAGGCGCTAAGAAGTAATGAAAAACAAATTCACTTATAAAATAAAAGTGTAGTTAGGAAGTAAGGATAGCTTTTCTTTATTTATCTACTCGATTTTAACGTCCCTTTTGTTGACTAAAACATATGCTGGGTCACCATCGGACGAGAGATAGGTAATAGAAATTATTATCGACAGAAAGGCGTACAATGGCCGACCTACATTTGTACTATCTATACCTATGTATTTATATATTTGGCCGTATGGTCCCGCCATAGAATAGGCCACCCCTTCCTTTCCCGTGGGTGTCGTAAAAGACGACTAAGGAACGGTGAGGGATGAGCAGCAGCGTCCTTCTTAAAATGTTTCTAAACCCTGACTGCGGTTGCCAATCCGCCTGCCAAGCGTGTCAACTATTGGCAAAACCCCTCAAGGGCGAGGCTTATGTTCAGTAGTGGACGGTTAAGGGCTGATATGATGATCATGATGATGATACCTATGTATAAAACAAATTAAGTTTAAGTATTCGTTTCATTGTGCTCCGCAAGATCCGTTGTGAGTTCTATAAGACTAAGTCCCTATTTATACAATAAATAATGCTGTATTTGTCTTTAAGTAATTAGGTATACAGTTAGAATAATAAATATGAAAGTGTAAAATCTTAAACTGTAGATTAAAATGTAGGTATAAATGTTATTGAAACAAATACATAACAGACTTAGCATTAAGAAATAGCATCGAATACCTACGCAATATATTATACTTAAAGATTATGTATAGAATCCGTACGAGGGACTTATATTAGAAACTAAAAACTTTACAAGTTTAGATAGATAAATATAAATTGATCCGTTTTTTTGTATTATTTTAATCCCAAATTGTAAAGAACTACAATGAGGGCCTAGAAGGCTTTTTACCATCTTAACAAATCATAACTGAATACGGGACTATACCCATAAAAAGAAAGACTTGGTCAACTATTCTCACGGTGGTCAGTTGGCTTGGTCAGGTTTTATTTCAAGTTTTTCTTGAATTAGTGTAATGCTTTCTTATGTTAGCATCTCTTACAACATCCTCGATTGTGGGGAAAGAAGTGTTAGTAATGCGCACTACCAGTCCCATTGCTAGCAATATACCATATAGTCCCCCCTGGAATGCATTCTACTGAATTTCTGGTGTATTCATCACGATGGGCTAACTGACCTGCCTTTTCATTTCACCTATCATTCCTCACTGGTGCCCCGCCAGCGTATACCATTAGCGCTGGTGGAGTTACCATTCTATTGGTATCCTTTAAAAAACATCCTAGGCTAATGGGAATAACATGGAAACTACACATACTCGTATTGTATTCTTACATAGGCGGCGATAATCTCTTACTCTCAGGTGAGAAGAATGCTTATTTGGCCCTTATGTTATAAAAAAAATACACAGCGTGGATAATTATGATGTTTATATTTTTTCAATAAACTAAAATTTTGTTTTGCAAGAAATAAAAATAGCTAGTTACTTTAATTCTGACATGAAACCAACATGGAAGTAACTTGTATCGAATGCAAAAATAATTACCTATCATAATTCTTTAAGAATTACCCAAGATATGACGTAACTTAAACATACAATTCACTTAAGAGCCTCCTTTTTGAATTTACAGTTAGAATTGTCCCAACACTTGAGCAAGATGTTGTTTCTATATTAAGATATCTGTGCTAAATGCATGGGATAAGTTAATACCGCTTTTTATTTTAATGTTTTTTAAATATCTGAACTACAGAAACTAATTCATGATTAAATACTATTTTTGAAGTTGGATTTTGTCCGTAGGTGAGCACTAATACAAAAATCTATTAAATAAAAACAATTTATTTAATAATTTAATTTTTCTTTCAATTTAAAATAGGAAATAAATTATAGGTTGTGGGTATTATATCTTAATTAACATAGAAGATTGATACCTATTTACTTTCTCTCCCGGAAAATCAAATGGTATAGTTTCATACGATCAAAGTTATGGGCATAATTGCCTAAAGTTGATCGTTTAAATCGAGTTGTTTGGGCCAAATGGTTTCGTGACAACCAAATGAATTTGATGGGTCGTTCATACAAATGTCACTTATTTAAATGTCATGTAAAAATCTAGATATAACCTAGATATGAACTAAATACGTAAACCAATTAATGAACTGATAATTTTCTTTGCATACCCTAAATCTACATTAAAAATATTTAGTACGTAAGTGCATATTAATTATTATTAATTAAAAGTATATCACAAATATTTTAAACTTACCTATCAATGAAATAACATATTCTTATAAGCTTATTTAAAAATATTTTCTATTCCTTATTTTACTTAATATAAGTTTTAAATGTAGAAGTTGACTTAAAATTTAATTTACACACAAAGCAAACTATTATTTACACTGCAAACTTCATCAAAGTGTGCACCTACAAATTCACTTTATAATATTTAAGCCATCACAAGAAACTAATGACATTATATCTAAAAATTATTTGCTCTCGGAAAGTTAGGCGAAGCAGGCGAACCGAAACAACAAACCCGCTTCCCGCCCCGACGTCCAAGGTGGCACTGAGGCATACCGGTATGAAATACCCGCAAACAGTTTTCCATCCACTGTTCCTTTTCTTGTAGTTACGTTGCGCAAACCTGCGGGGAAAGCATTTCCACGTGGTTTGTCTATTTATTCAAACTACAAGTAGCACCATCTATGGTAGGGTAAAAGAAGTTTTCACCTCAAATACGATTAGCGTTATCTAGCGGCGTTATGAAGAAGTATTTTATAAGAGATAAAAAAAAAACAGAGCAGTATGTCAGTAATGTATTTATTTCAAGTAGCAACATTAGTAGAATGTCAAAAATGTCAATTAGCTGTCAGTCATCTAATTTTGATTTGTCCTGCCAGTTTAACTGACAAGTTTCTGGAAAGGTGTCCACGAATGAATATCGGCACGCTTTCTTTTTAATTTCAATTCGCTTTAGTTATTACAATATTAAATAAAATAATTATCTTCTCTGTATTTAAAAACTGATTTGCATAAGTTAAAACATTAACACTTAAAAATGAGTACGATACTGGAGAAGATTGCTGCTATTGAGGCCGAGGTTTGTAACATAGGTTATAATTTTTGATAAATTACCTGAAAATATGATATTTCTAAAAAATAATTTATCAATGTTTGGTGTTCCATAGAATTTGTATAATATAAATATATCCACGCACCATATAAAGAATGGGCTATAAATTTTAATGTGAACAAATATATTGCTACGTTCACAATTCAACCTTATAGCTTCCATCTGGGATTACATTCACCATACCAATTTTATATATTATATGCTTGTTACCAACAATGTTGGTGTTACCAATAGTACTAATTAAGTAAGAGTATAATTAAGATTATATTTTGCATAAAATAACTTTAATAATAACAAAATTGTAGTCAAGATCACTTCAGAATTAGTAAATACAGTGAATACTCTATATAAACAACTTAGTTGAACCAATTTCAATAAAAAAAATTCTTATTGGCAAAAGTTGCTTATAGGAAATAAAGGAGTATAAAAATACTTACCGCCTGGAAAATATTTTTACTTATTTCTTTTACTAACTAAGCTGAGTAGAATAAATAAAATATAAAGAATGTTGCTTATATAGAGTGTTCACTGTATGTCTTTTAACAAAAATACTGACAATTTTTTATGTTTGAATTACCTAAATACTAGTTTATAGCCTTTACTAGATACCTTGTGAAAAATACTTATTTAATATTAATAAGAATTTTTAAATGCCTTACAGATGGCCCGCACACAAAAAAATAAGGCGACAGCACTTCATTTAGGCATATTAAAGGCCAGATTGGCTAAACTTAGGCGAGAACTAATAACACCCAAAGGTGGTGGTGGTGCCACTGGTGAAGGTAAGCTATGTTAATGTTAACACATTAAAATTGAAATGGTTTCTCAATTATAATAGACAGAAGGATTTAGATATAAATAAAGCAGTACAAAGTAATTTCTTCCTAATAGGAACATTTAATTTTGAATAGGAGCATATGAGTATACATTTTTACTTAATTAGGTATACATTATATATTATTTAAGTATACCATATTTATATAAGTTTATATATAACATATAAACTTATATAAAACTAATAGTATGTAATCTAAATAATGCCAAGTTCTGACTTACCATACATTATTTTCAACCGACTTCAGAAAGGATGCTCTTAATTTGGTTGTATGTTTTTTAATGTTTGTTACCTTATAACTCCGTCAGTTGTAAATCGATTTGGAACATTCTTTTCTATCTCAAAGGATATACTTGCATATTAGTTCTATAGAAATTTTAACAAAATCTGTTCAGTAAGTAGTTAAGTTTTTAAATCAAAATGACTGAATTCAATTTCTTTTTGGGGAAAACAATTATGTAATTATACTATAATTGATACTTATAAACAGATTTGTAATATGATGTGGTATTACTAAATAATGCTTTCAATACCATCTAGAACAATTCTAAATAATTCTTTTCTTTTTTTATTATAACTAGTATAAGGCAAACTTAATGCTAAGAGTATTATCTCCTTTAGAAATAATAAAATGTAAAAATTTTGTATCTAAAGTATGCATTAACATAATTCTTGTAAGTAATTTTTGCTAATTCATATTCTAGGGTTCGATGTTGCTAAAACTGGAGATGCCCGTATTGGTTTTGTGGGTTTTCCATCAGTGGGCAAGTCGACCTTGCTATCAAATTTAGCAGGTGTATACTCTGAGGTGGCAGCCTACGAGTTCACAACTCTAACTACTGTACCAGGCTGCATCAAATATAAAGGTGCTAAAATTCAGGTAATGATAATAATATTTCCTGTATGATGATAATTTAAGAGACCCAGAGATCAAATAGTTCAGCTCAGACAGTAAATCATATCTTCTTGTTGTTAAATATTTTATATTTATGTATGTTATATTTTAATTGTGATAATAACCAGATTGATTTGTGTATTTTTATTTTTTAAGCATCCCTGACCTTCTGATCCCTCATTGGAAGGATAGTCTACACATGCCAACTTCTGCAAATAATCATCTGCATGTGGTTATATAACTGATTGCATGATACGAACACTGAAGAAAAGCATCCTCAACAAATCTGGTTATTTTTACAATTAAAATATAATAATTTTGGTTTAACAGAAAATATTTTATTCATATACATAATATTAATTAGATGAACTATTGTTATCATCCAGCTTCTGGATTTGCCCGGAATCATCGAAGGAGCTAAAGATGGCAAAGGCAGAGGTCGGCAAGTGATAGCTGTGGCTCGTACCTGCAGCCTCGTATTCATTGTGTTGGACGTGCTGAAGCCATTGCAACACAAAAGACTATTAGAGCATGAATTGGAAGGGTTTGGCTTACGGTTAAACAAGCAGCCACCAAACATACACTTTAGAAAAAAAGACAAAGGTGGAATCAACTTGAATACAACTGTGAGTATTTCATTACTATCTTTATATATAATAGACATAACAGAGTATACTGGTTTGTCCATGATACCCCCCATGCATTGCCATTCCTGAGGATTCAGATGTTATTCCTCTGTACCTTGTAAATTCACTGTCATATCCCTTCTTTCAAACCGAAATACAGCCATGCATACACAACTGCTTCACGCTAGAAACACAAATGGGACAGAGGTGCCCAAGCAAATTACTTTTGTATAAAAGTCTTCCTCTGGTGTTATGAATATATAGTCCTGGATTGAAAAATTATACACTTTACCTGTCTATTGTGTCCTGGTATTTTATAATGAGATAATTTAAGGTTTTTTTGTTCTCATTGTCCAGTGCCCGCAATCAGAATTAGACCTCGAAACAGTGAAGACGATCCTTTCCGAATATAAAATCCATAATGCTGACATCACGCTCCGATACGACGCCACCAGCGATGACCTGATTGATGTCATTGAAGGCAATCGGATATATGTACCTTGTATTTATCTGCTTAATAAAATTGGTTAGTAAATCGTAAATCATAACATTTTACCGACTCATCATTCACTGTTGAACATAGGCCTTCAATAGATTACAGTAAGGAATGATTTTGAATAAAACACTTTTTGTTAGGTCAACCATCAACACCTTTGTCTTGCAAATAATAATTATATATATATATATATATATATATATATATATATATATATATATATATATATATATATATATATATATATATATATATATATATATATATATATATATATATATATATATTATATACATAATTAATAAAAAATCTCACAGCTATGTAATCCGTTATGTGGTAGTTAGAGGCAAATTTTATCAGTTAAAAAATGAACAATAAGGGGGCTATTAAATGATATTGGTTTGACAGCTTATTGACAGCTTATGTTAATTTCTATATGTATATGGCAAAATGAATCCTGTTCTTACAGTATGTAACTAGTGTAGGTATCAATGTTAAATTGTGCTTATACAAACATACTTTGATAATAATAAATACAATATTACTGTACTCTATTGCATCTAAAAATATATGATTTTTATTTTAGATCAAATCAGCATAGAAGAATTAGACGTTATCTACAAAATACCTCACTGTGTCCCGATATCCGCTCACCACAAATGGAATTTTGACGACTTACTTGAAAAAATGTGGGAGTACCTAAAACTCATCAGGATATACACCAAACCCAAGGGGCAGCTACCTGATTACAACGCTCCAGTGGTCTTGCATGCAGACAGAACTACTATTGAAGACTTTTGTAACAAACTCCATAGATCTATTGTAAAGGAATTTAAGTAGTAAGTATTATGTACTTTTTTCTTGCTAGCTGTGACTTCATTGGTGTGACCAATGTAAAAAATATTGTTTTTTTTTTTTTCAAAGTAATATTTATTTAATATTTAATTTTCCTTACAGTGCACTAGTGTGGGGATCGTCCGTGAAACATCAGCCCCAAAAAGTTGGCATTGAGCATGTCTTAGCTGATGAAGATGTTGTACAGATTGTCAAGAAAGTGTAGAGATTAGCATAAACTTACATGAAAATTTTGATTTAAAAGTATGGCCCTATTCACACGGCAGTTTTTACCTGGTTGAACATAAATGAAATGCATTTCAATCACAATAATATAATTTTTAATACTTAATAATATACCAATCTTGGCATTTTTATTGTAAAAAGTCTCATCGGAGATACGTGTCAAACCCAATGTCTTGATGTGTTAAATAATACTAATATAAAGAGGAAAGATTTTATTCTTTGTGAATATTTCATTATCAGTGAGTAACATAGGCTATATATATTTCGAAAATCTATCCACCTATGCCAAACTGGGCCGAGTAAATAGTATTAAGGTAAAACCTTACACTTTCGGCTTTTGTTGGTTTTCGGCTTTGGTTAACCGATGGTTTAGTAAAATGACATCAAACTCTATCAAATGCAAAGAGAATTATAAAAATTGATGACATAACAGTGTAGTATAATCAATAAAAATAATATGAACGAATTTAGAATCTCTTCTCCCTTTGAAAGTCGCTTAAAAAATTATCAACAATCATAGCTTATGGTGTCTCACTGCTGGTCAAAGGCCTACTTCAACTGCTTCCATCTCATACCAGTTTTTGTGGAACCAGCCAAGATCGTCTCTCCATCGCATACAAGGACTTAATTTTTCTTTTTCAGGGACTCAAAGTGTAGACATTTTTGCACACCTATTGCTTGCCATGTAACTCACATGTCCTACCCAACCCCACTTCAGAGTTGCCGCTATCTGAAAGTGAAAAAAAATAATGGACTATAAATTTAATATTTGGGCATGTTAAACAACTTACTAGATTACTAAAACGATTCACAACTTCATTCTACGCTATTTTTCAATACAATACCGATTGTAAATTTATAACTAATTTTCAACGTGCGTTTGTAAAAAGACCGTGTGTATAGGCCCTAAATACATCCATTGTATAAATACTTGAATACCCGAAGAGTATTATTTTCTCATATTAGATAACTTGCGATTCTATCGATATACTCAATATAAGGGTTTTTATGGTAATTTTTTTTTTCTACTTTTCGTAAACTTTCCAAATATGATTCTAGTATATTTTATTGGCCAACATCTTATAAATATTTACAGAATAAACCTTTTCACACGAATCAAAATACTAATTTCATATAACCAACTCGACGAACCTCTTTAATCGGATAATATTATGACCTTAGAGAGAGATGAATGATAGAATTGTAATCGCTAGCGAGTCCATAACAAAATGAGGTGGCGACGTCCAGTGTCTTTCGAGCGCTATCCGAAACGATTCTATCAATTAATTTGTTTGCCACTATTTGTCTAAAGGGGTTTTTATTTTAGTAATCAGTCTTATTGGTATTCTTCTCTATCACAATATATTTATTGCTTTTATACCTATAAATTTATCATCCTTAGAATGGATACTAGATATATATATATATATATATATAACAAAATATACAGGGTGAAATTGATCATTATTGTCCTTTTTAGGCAGTGTTCTACATTTGAAATTGAACATTTATAAAAAAAGACTTGAAACAATAAATGATAAAAAAAATATGGCTTTCTTTCCATACTAAGATGATCTGTATTAACACCATTTTTTTTATAATTTTTCGTTTTTTTATAATCTTTGGGCAAAATGTTCATGTTCACTTGTGAAACACTGTTAAAAGGATCCTAATGATTTCAATTTTGCCCTATACAGAAATATTTATTTCACCTCATAAACTTTGACAGACGAATTATTATCAAGCACTAAACTTTGTTAATAACTGAATTTAGTTTTTTAAGTGCAAATGTATGACATTGAGAAACTTTTCAGGTAATAAAAATAATTATTAATAAAAAGAAGTATTTTTAAATAAAAGGATTAGTTTTTGTAATTATCAATAATTACAATGTATTTATTGTAACAGATCATAATAATAAATAAGTTTCTATATTTTTTTTTAATTTTTAATGTTGGACTAATGCGTGATGACTATACAGGCAAATAAAAATTAAGTCTCTTAATATGCTGTGAGTTTTGATTACAGTAATTTAGTGTACTCTTAATTTGATTACATGTTAAACATTGGGATGTTTTGGTCTTGTACAGAATGCTCATTAAACTGTAAAGTTATTTATGGTTTTATTTCTTTTTATGTTTGTATCATCTACGAGTATGATAATATTATCTATAACAATATACTAATCGATTACTTACTGATTAAAAATAAGTTGGATCAAGGTAAGGCTCTATATTTCTATAATAATACTATTACGCCAATATAATATCTGTGATAAAAATAGGACCAATGGTTCTTTAAAAATCAAAATTTCTAGAAAACAGTACCTAAATATTTAAAACTCCTTAATTTTTTTTTTTTATACCAAAGGTGGCAAACACGTATATAGCCCTTCTGATGGTAAAGACTCACTGTAACCTATGAACGCCTGCAATACTAAGGGTGTCATGTGCGCGATGATAACGCTGATAAAATCTTAATATACCGTTTTGAAGAATCCCATACTGTAGTCTCTAGGGAAGACCGGCAGGGAGTATTCCACAGCTTGAGTTTTCATAGTAGAAAATTCCTTTAAAACCGCATCTTATGTGACCATTTAGGTTCAAGCGTGTGAGGATGAATTTCCTGTTGGCGAGTACCGTACGATGGTAACGTGGCTTTGGGCATTATTTCAAACAATTCCTCAAAATACAGTCCGTTATATAAGCGGTAGAATACAGAAAGGGAAGCAGTCTCGCCTTAAACTTAAGGGCTCGATACCACCTGTGAGTTTGGGATTGTTGATAAATCTCATAGCTTATTTTTGAATCAAGTCAAGACGACCAAGCTGGTAACCATGCACTACAACTCACCTATAAGAGCAATATTCCATGAAGTGACGGACTTGCGACTTATACAAAAATTGTCCTTGTCTCAAGGTAAAATACCTTTTTTACCGTTTCGCTCTTTTGATCACCCCGAGCTTTTTGAACGCCAGCTTGACCCTATCTTTTAGATAACCCCGGAACTCTAGGTACAATGCTAGAGATGTCGATAGCGCGGATCCCAACATGTTAGAAGATGATAATGAATTGTTCCCGAAATAAATTAAGTCTTATATTTTTAATACTTGTCTAAACTTCAGGGAACAGGATTCGTAAAAGTATCCCCCTTTACAGATACAGATCATTTATTTATAATTACAAAATCACAAGTCCAGATTTATTTAATTTTGTATTCGACTTAAGTTACTTGTATTTCATAAATTAATGCTATTGTTTGCAATTATTATTTTTGTAAAAATATCTGTCTTTGTCAAATACAATAAAATCTGTTAAAGATTTAGAAAAGATTTCGGACCTTGTTCTTAGAGATTTAATGGCATAACAATCGTAGTAGATAAATTATCTAAACTACCCTATCTGAGATCACAGTTGCGATACTATTTTATTGGTATTATTTATTATTCCTGACAGCAATATAACCGTTACCATATATTTCCTTTGCCTGCCTTTCTCACTCGGCCTATAAGAAAAAAAATAATGTTTTTTTTTCATTATAAATTACAATAAACTTCTACCTAGGTAAACATTTTAGAAGAAAAATCAGTTCATCAATGTTGTAATATTACTTTGATTTTATTAAATAACATTATTCGTACTAAATTACTAAAATAAGTAATACATAGCAATATTGCTAAATAAGTGTACCGAAAGTGTGGTTATGTTTATTCCTAATCTTCATTCTTTTCTTCAATTTTAATGTCTTTCAAATGAAAATAATGGCCAATTTCGAAAACTTATCATCAACTGAGGTAAATTCTCACTTTTATTTATTTATACTTATAAAAATAGTTAAATCTCAATGCCAATTTTCGAAACAATAACAATATAAGAAAAGTAAATGGTGCCATCTATAAAATTTTTATAATACTAAAATGATAAACGCCCTAAAAGAGATGTTAGCATAAAAAAATGTAGTCATAATAGAAGTTAATAGATGGCGCTGTTAAAGTTTTTGTTTATTTCAGAAAATTCGCGCTGCCCTTCATAGAGATGTACGGTCCATGTGCTCAGAAGCTTGCCATTTATTAGGACTGGATGTAACCAAACCAGCAATGGCCGTGATATCAGAATTAATTTACAAAAAACTAATTGTGTACGGGTCCGATTTAGAAGCGTTTGCCAAGTAATTCCTATTTTTGTCTACTACCTACTTACATAAATACTTACTAGACTAATATGTATTAAGTCTTTTATTTAACTTTACATGTATATATGAAAGTAATTCAATATACTCCTCAATCCTCCTTCCCATAGGAGGAGGACATAGCCTACTTTAATCTCGTTAGCCCGACGCCTTGTATTTCTAGGTTCCTTCTTTATTTTGTTCCCTTATCGGTCTGTCACTGACATCCTTTCTGAAAAGAAAAATACATATTTTAAACTATATTTTCATATTTTAGACATGCAAAACGAACCATTATAAATTCTGATGACGTCAAATTATTGGTGAGGAGGAATCCTTCATTGGTAAGTTCTCAAACAAGTCATAACGTATTTTATAATTTTGGACACGGGTCATAATAATCGACTACACCGCCAAAAAATAATAGGGAGTTAGAAAGGTTTATAATAGTTTTGATTGACCTAACGATTGTTAGTAAAGAAAAAGATTTATTATTGTTATAGTTTTATATTATCTGTGGTAATGCGAACTGTGAGCATTGCTAGCAATAAAGATCGACCTCACGGTTTTCTGCATACAGTCTTGCGTGGTTAATCCACCACAACGTAGTAATCGACCTGACTTTATCATCCTTTGTCATTCCTCGCGAATTAACCCAGTTTCCACTTTCATCCCATAAAAAAACTTACCGTAACTATAAACATATATCTATTCGTCTATAGTTACAATATAGATAAATATATGATATGATAGATTATAGATAGATATTTATTTGAATTACTTTCAGCACGCAAATAACAACAGATAGGTTTAGATATATATGCAAAAAAAAAGAAAAGAAATAAAAGAGAACCTATGCATTAAAAGGAAAATATTTTACAGTAATATGTAATGTAAAAACAACAGTATACTAAAGCCTGTTTTAAGTTAATTCTGAATCCAACATTCGATTGTTACAGAAAGCTCGCTTAAACAACGCTCAGTCTTCAATCAAAGCAACAGTTGTTAGAGATAAACGTCGAAAAACAGTAGTTCCCGTAAATAAACAAACAGATACGACTAAAGAGAGACCAAAGGAGGACGAAATAGCTGTATCAAAATCAAAGGAAACGGAAAGAGAGGCAAATAAAATAAATGATAATTTAGAAATGGAAGTTAGTGAAATGATTGATTTAACATTTGATTAAAGTTTAATTTTTTTATACCCGTAAGTTTTTATTTATTTATTTATTTCGTCAACCGAGTGAGTTTTAGGCTCCCAATACGCTCACCCAGGAAAGCATCAGTGCAGTCATGTGTATGTGTTATACACATGTATAATTAAATGAAATAATATTAATTACATTTAAATCACATAACAATGAAAAAAGAACATATTTATCTGAACACAAACACTCTGTGGTCATCCGTCATTATTTGAAGACTTTTGTGATTTAGCCATTTAATATACCACCTTACTTTCTGATGGTCACGAGTTTGATCCTCGCATAACACAAACATTTGTATTTTTTTTTTGTAGGGTGAAAATGGTATGGTAACCCCGCCTGCGCTAACGGGATACGCTGGCTGAGCACCAGTGAAGGGTGATAGATAAGAATGAAAACAGGCCAGTTAGCCCATCATGATGAATTCATCAAAAATTAACATTGATAGTTTCCAGGGGGAACCGCGAGGAGGTCGACCTGGTTGGGTATATTGCTAGCAATGGGATTCTCAGTCTCCATTACTAACAATCCCTTTTCCCCCCAAACATTTGTATTTATGAGTATATCTGTTTGTATCGGTCTGGATGTTTTTATGTATTGTTGTATTAGCCGTTAACTATTCACTGAACATAGCCTCCCTCATAAGGGATAACAACTGATATTTGGGCTTTGGTGATGCTTTAAGATGGATGCTGCTGTCCATCCATCCACCATAAGCTCTCTTAGTCGCCTCCTACGATACCCACAAGTAAGGAATGTGTGGCCTATTCTATACCGGGACATACACTTTACACGAGGCTTTGTATTTATTATTAAGTAATAACTATCGTGAGTCCATTTATGATATAATTAATACTGTAAAAAAAGGCTTTACTCACGTTTTAAATTCAGGGATGCACGACTAGTTTCTAAATTAATAGGAGCCCTTATTCATGTGGGCAGTTCACGGCATTGTCGCGGACAACACTGCGCAATCAGAGCAAGCTGTTTGTGGCTGCATTTAGTTCAAAACCAATCAGGGATCTCCGAATTTAAAACGTGAGTAAAGCCGACAAAATTCATTTCAATATGTTGAGTATTTACAAAAAAGTATTTAAGTTTTTCTATCATTTGTCTAGTACCTATAGTACAAGCTTTACTTAGTTTAGAACTAGATGGCGCTGTATAATATGTCCAGTGGTATTTATTATTATGGACCATAGTCAATGGTTAGCGTACTGAGTTGTTACCAGTAATAATAATAATTACTATAATAGGTAGTAAATATAGATACTTGTTATCATATATTTGACGGACAGGTACGTATAAATGAGCAAAGCAAATGCACAGTCGCGGTCCGCGGGCGTGCACCGCGCCGGACTCCGCCAAAAAACTCGTTATAACGAAACACAATTACTCAGTGACAGTGAAATGTGTGGAGTCGACAATATTTTCACAATAGATATTTTAAATGATTTATTACTAACTGTATTCCGCGGCTTGACGTGTGTGAATCAGTATATGAAGTATTCTATGTGCTAAATTGGGATATAATCTACACGTGTAGCAATTTATTCAAATCCGTTCAGTACTTGTTTCGTGAAAGAGTAACAAACATCCCATCATCGTTACAAACTAACACATTTATTATATTAAAAATATTAATAGGACTATCACGGATGGTTTTGCAAAAACAACGATGTGAAAGGGGATGAACGTACATAGGTATGGTGGAGATATAAATGAACCTACTATATGTGCTCAAATATACCGTATTCTATCTGAGTCTACCGAACCGGCGTGCCTACATGAAACGAATTGTGGATAAAGCAGTTTTTTTTTAATGGAAGATAATATAATGATAACCCCGCTTAAGCGGGGGTAAAGGAATTGTTCATAATGAGATTTAACAGCACCATTGCTAGCAATACACCCAATCAGGTCGACTTCCACACGGTTCCCCCTGTAAACCATAATGGTTAATACTCATTCAATTGGTCATTATGGGCCAATTGACCTACGTTCATCCTCACCTGTTACCCTTTACTTTCTTACAATTACCATTCCATCTTCGCCCATTAAAAAAAGCCCCTATACTGGCGGAGCACCACTGAGGGATGATAGATGATAATGAAAAGGCAGGTCAGTTAGTCCATCGTAATGAATACACATGGAATTCAGCACGATAGTTTCCAGGACGTCCACGTAGAGGTCGACCTGCCAAGGGATATTGCTAGCAATGGGACTGGTAATTCGCATTACTGGCAGTCCCTTCCCCTAGCAGATATAGTTTTTGTCATAATTAAAGTTGGATCTTTTTGTGAAACACTATCTTAAATTATTTCTTTACAAATATGTACGAGTATTTTAGCTAAAAATATTTACTTTTCTGCGACTTTTAAAATATGAAAAGACTATATTTCTATATGTTCCGTATAAAAAACCTCTTGTATTCTGTGTAAACATAGGCCTCATGTTTAGCAGTGGATATTTAATAGCTGATATGATGATGACGATGATTTGGGAAGATAAATTCTACTTTCTTCTTAAAGTTAATAATAACTGTATTAGTATGATTTTACATAGTTTTTCACACGGCAAAACTGTCAAATGAACAAGTACATTCTCTTCGTAAAAAGCAATTTTAATCGTACACACAACCATAGAAATAAACTTCGATATACTTTGTAGATACATTTGATTGTAACTATTTTTTTATTTATTTACACTTTATTGCGTCAAGTAAAAAAAATAATAAATACAGTAAATATTAATGAAAAGTAATACAAAAGGCGGCCTTATTGCTAAGTTATCTCTTACATACGAGTAGATGTTACTTAATGTTTACATAGACTTTAATTCGCAACAAGCAGTTTTTTGTTTCGCAAAGATTCTTTATAAAATTAATATGGGACTAATACTGAATACGGGATGTGTCTGCCATTGATTACCGAAAGAATTGTAAAAGTCGGTTTAGAAAAGGCGTCGAAAATAAATCGGAAGGTTTGATAACTTACTTGTTTAGGAATATGCTTACCCTTTTTTGCATAATGGTGGAAATTTCCATCATAACATTGATACCCAAAATGATTTAAAAAAAAAAGTTTACTTTAAGTAGATCGTGTTCGGATACCTTTTTAATGTCCATTGCAGAAAAAATAAACATAGCTGTCAATTTTATTTTTTAGCCATTTTTCCTTTAATTTTGAATATTAATTATATCACCTTGATTTATTTCGCCAATAAAAAAAATCATGCAAAGAAGGGTTAAAACGAAAAGTAACAAAATATCTAACAAACGACTAACTCCGCTTAATATGAATAATATTTTTGCAGTGAAACGCCCAGCAATCAGATTAGAAGTTTATTTAATATTACAACAGTCAACGACTAAACACACATGGCTACCTAGGTCTCACACCTTTTTTGACACACGCGGCAATGTTGCCAACAGATAAAAACAAGGTTACCATTCTACAAATAATATTATGCACAGATTACACTGTTTATATCTAATACTGCTCCACGTCATTTCATGTCCATCGTAGTTAATTACTCCTATAACGACAGTTAGAGCATAATGAGATTTTTGCAATTCAACAGTAGCACATTACAGGGTGCTGTTTGTCAACCCCCACCCCGCCGCTGACCGCCGACCGTGGGGGGAAGTTATTAGGCAGGTTTGTTAATGAATTTCATGCAAACACGTATGTGTAAGACAGGTAGGTATTGGAAGACTACTCTTTATTGCAAACATAGTGCGAATTTAAAGTTGCTCAATAATATTTAATATAATAGTTATAAGTTTGGGTGACAACAGAATAATTTTACTTAGAGGGAGACTTTGTACAAAAGTCGTTTGCTTGCACACCTCTGTTCAATTCGTGTTTCTACCGTGAAGCAGTTGTGTTTACATGGCTGTGTATCGGTTTTAAGGATAGGATATGGCAGTGAATTTACAGGATACAGATGAAAAACACCTGAGTCTTCAGGAATGGCAACGCATGGGGGGTATCATGGGCGAAACAGAATACTCTGTTGTCTATGGTACTGCTCATGCCTATAGGCGACGGTTACCATTTTCCATCAGGTGGGCCGTCAGCTTGTTTGCCATTCTAAGTTGTATAAAAAAAAATCTGTTTAGATATAGTATAGTTTTACATAGTTTTAATTTATATAACCAAGTAATGCGTAATGGATGCAATTTCACAGACGCTTTCCAGCAGTCCGTTCCGTAAAGACCTAGCTACCTCAATTAGGAAGCTGTAATTATCGACTGCGTCACTGTTCAGACACTCGATGAATATGCACGAGGTACTAGGACCAATTGGACTTAGTCTTGCTTCCAAGCACTACTTATGTTAATATTGTACTTTGTGACCCGTTCAACGCTTTAACACTTATATGAGGCCATAGCTATCTTGTAACCCTATCAACATTACAAATGAGAAAGTTTGTAAAAATCTTTTTTTTTTTGTACAATGATTGTGTCAGATATCAGAATTGCTGTAAAAATAATTTAAAAGAAGTATTAGGTCTATCTTTGGACACGTTGTTTAGTGCAGCGAGAAATCGGAATTCATGGAACACCTGATGTGCAACTGTGATCATTGGCCCAGGATTGATCAGTCCAGTCCGTTGATCCAAAGCCAGGAAACTAGAGATATCTTAAACCGTGGGATATTGTAAAGGTAATGCATAAAATAATAATATGTATACTTACTGAATAAATTTTCTAAAGTCAAAATTATTATAATTTTAGTTTACGTTGGTCCATAAAACAGTAGTTAATCGAAATTATCAAATAAAAATATTAAGAGAAGTTTAGAGAAATGGCACGAAAGGCCTCAGTGTACGAGTATGTAAAATATCCCCTACTAATTGGAATGACAACATCAAATGCGTTGCAGAAAGTCAGTGGATGTAGATGGCTCAACTTATCCTTATGACGGTCTATGGGGAAGACCTCAGTAATGGACAATTAACGACTGAAATGAATATGATACTGAGTAATAAATAT